CCAGATACAAGAAAAGCATAACAGTGTCAAATTATTTGACCACCTACAGTGCTCCTTTCCAAAAATAAAGGACACCGGAGGTGTAAATTAAGATTATACCGGTCGCGTAGATGAATTAAAGATGGGCCGCATTAGACCGGTACTGTCAATATTGTTGAAAGTTTGGGCTGAAGGTTAGTGTTCATTAGTTCTGTTTATAAAGATGGTAAAGGTTTGAACTTATTAAATTAATGAGCACTGGCTGTAGTGGACCCAATCTTGGGATAGGTTATTACCCCCAGATCAACACACCCTTGCACTACTGCTACAGTGTGCGTTAATTTTCAGCTTGCAGGTTTTCCTGCTTTTCGTCGTCGATCGTTCGTTTCGAGAGGATCGTTTGAACATTGTTGTTGTTGCTTTATATCGTTTTGGTTGTTGTATCAGCGCTTTATCCAGCTATCAACTGTTACTCTTGTACCCCCTGCAGGCATCCGCTTGTAGATCTGGGCTTCGCTCGAGAAGCACCCTTGGTTGTCAGGCATTCATAACTCTGGACTGATCTGATTGTGTTGTGGGGCGACGTTGGAGGTGTGTCGTTTGTAGGGTCTTCTTCTGCTGCATCACACCCTTGGAAGTTGCCGATGGTGGCTTTCACCCTTGGAGATGGCGCAGGAGAAGGACCGGAGTGAGGAATCACCCCCAACTCCTCCGTGAGTTGGTGGCGGTCCCAGCTTGGACCCAATCGGCTCAATTGCCTCAGCATGGCGATTGCCTTGTTGCCTTATCAATACCTACCGACCGGAGCTAAGACCTTACGATTATGGCTAACATCGCCATTGCCAAAGGAATAATTAATTAGTTCTGTTGATAAAGATGGTAAAGGTTTGAACTAATTAAATTAATGAGCACTGGCTGTAGTGAACCAATCTGGGATAGGTATTACTCCCCAGATAACAGATTTTTCCGTCTGAGAAAGTGTGCTGTGGTAGCTTACAGGGAGTTTTAGAGGTGGCAACGTGAGAGTAGTTAGATTTTTCCATCTGAGAAGGTGGCGTGGTAGCTTAGGGAGTTTAGAGGCGTGCAACTGAGACTTATATGGTTTTTTCGTCTTGAGAAAGAGGCGTTGAGTAGCTTATCGAGGAGTTTACAGTAGGTGTGCACACGTGAAATGTTAGATATCATCCTGAGAACGGTGGCGTGGTAGCTTACCGGAGTTTAGAGGTGTCAACATGAGACGCTTAGTTTTCCATCTGAGAAAGTGGCGTGGTAGCTTATCGGTAGTTTAGAAGTGTGAAGTGAGACGTAGATTTTCTCATCTGAGAAAAGTGGCGTGGAGCTACAAGGTACGGTGTTTAGAGTGTGACAACGTGAGACATTGGATTTTTCCGCTGAGAAAGAGGCGGTTTGTAGCTTATCAGGAGTTTAGCAGATTATGCTAATTGTGAGACATTAGATTTTTCCATCTGAGAAAGTGGCGTGGTAGCTTACGGGAGTTTAGAGATGTGCAATGTGAGACGTTAGATTTTTCCATCTGAGAAAGTGGCGTGGTAGGTTACGGGAGTTTAGAGGTGTGCATCGTGAAGAAAATATTAGGATCCGTTGCTATGGTACCGTATGATTATTATGAGAATGTGTGAGAAAGAGGGGGTTGAAGTAAATCTCTAACCCTAAGGATAACCAACCAACCAAACCCACCACCACCACAATAAACGGGGTCAGAGATCACCGGGGTCTGCCCGGTATATAAAAATTTAATGATGACCGCGAAGACAGGTCGAACCCCAATTGACAATGCTTAAAATTAATTAAAAAAATTGATTTACATGTATTTGCAAAGATGTAGCCATAAGCTCAGCCATACTCAAGACGACTGGGTCCATAAGCTAAAAGAGAAGCCACGAGATGATAAGAACACAGAAGAAGAACACCCAAAGCAATCTTTGGAGAGTGTTATATCCTTGGAAAGAGGAATCGTGTGTACTCTGAGAGCAGCGTTCGCTGTGAGACTCTGTGAGGTACCAGAAGGACATTTTTGGTCATTCGATGTATGACAAAGAATTAGTACGAAATTCACTGGAACAGGCATCATAATCTATCTTTTCTCTGGCGCGACTAGAACTACATGTGTACCGGTAACGTACGGTACCAGGTACTACCGGTACATCGTACGACTGTACATGCACATTGAGGCGTGCTGAAAGGTCTTGAAATGGAAATGTAGTTTTGATGGAAATAGAGTCAGTTTCACGGAAATGATAGTTTCACCCAAATCAGGAAATTTCTTACTCTAGCTAGTAAACATTTTCGTTTTCTCATGTATCGTAAGCCTGTTTTGCAGTCTTAGACTAGTTAGCCTTGTGGATTGATTTTTATTATTATACTCATACTGAATTCGTTTCACAGGAATTGATCTAATTCACGGAAAAGCTCAAAAATGATAGTTTCAATTAATAATGCGTAAATTTCAAATTTGTTTCAGTGAAACCCTTGGTACATTGGTACATTGTGCTAAAATCGTGCGGATGACATTGTACATGGAGCCTTCAACATTCCATTTTTCATTTTTAAGGATCATTCGGTTAGTCGTATAGAAACATAGTCTAGCTAGCTAGTCCCAGAGTACGAGTATTAATAGTATTTCACAGTGGCCGATTTGGTCATTGGACACTGTACTACAGTAGAGTGTAGTACGCCGCGGCACCAGCAGTCTCTGCATGATCGAGACTGGGGCAATCCAGCAAGTTCACAGTCTATCTCATGTAGAAATAAAGGTACCGGTACCGGTACATGCATGAGCCCAGCTAGCTAGCCAGCCACCCCTTGATGTACGGCACGGTACCAGTGGCCAATCATTGGCGGTGGTGTAGTGCCCCACCCCTCTTGCTTGCCAGACTATGGCCAGTAGCCAATTGAAGCTAGCCAGGAGAGGCAGCAAAGAACATTGGAGCAACCTACTGACATGTCCCCCAGCAACGAAACAGCCCAGCAGGGATGCGACGAAGGGCTTTCGAATTCATGACACCAGCATGGCTGTGTATCAGGCCATGGCCACTCTAGCTAGTAGCCGGATCCAAGATGACTCCACTCGACTCGAGCTGACGGCTCCAGCATCCTCTTATACTGTAGCACATCGCAAGCGAATGCCGCATCGAGCCCTGTCGGATCGAGGCTCGAGGCAGAGGTGAGTATCGGTTGTTTGAGAGGACTTCCACCAAACTGAGAGGCTTCTACACTTCACTTGGTACGAAGCAAGTGCGTGGTCGTAACCTTTAAAACTATTCGTTTAACTCTTTAATAAAAAGTGGATTCCTTCCATCATGGCTTGTCCATTGTTGGTCCGTATCTGGACATCCGTTGTCGTTGCCCCACTAGCTAGTAGTTTTTTTCGCTCCAGGTGCGATCCTTTGTTGTGTTTGCAAACTGTGACAGGCCGTGCGTGCCTTCGCTATCCTGGAAGGGGCGGGCTGAAGTTTTTGACTTGCTGTTCCCTGTTGTCATTGCGAAGGTGGTTCGACTCCAAGCAATGTTGCTTGTTGCCAATAGTCACAGTTTCGTCACGCACTTGCTTTTTACACCTCCATACTTCGTGGCCCTGCGTCTTTGGGGGCCAAGAACTGATCCCAAATGAGTCTATCTATTTCCAACAACTCTCTCTTGGTCCGTTCCAAGTCTTCCCCATTCGCGCTGTTCACAACTTGTTGCCAAAGAACCATTCGTTTGGATTGCAGCTCTCGTCGATCGACAAAGGCATCATTCTCTTTGGAGAGCATGCTGACTGCAATATCCTTGCTGTCATTTGATGCTCGAAGAATGCGAACCTTGACAGTTTGCCCCACTTTAACATGATCGGCAATGTTCAAGACCTTGTACATGGTCATGCGGGAAATGTGCAAGAGTGCGTTTCGGTTGTACCCAATATCGATAAAGGCACCGTATTGTTGGAGCCGGACCACCTTGCCCTCGACTTCGTCACCCACGCGTGGTGACGACGAGACTTGTTTCGAGATCATTCGTTTGGTGCTGCGCGCCTCCAGAGATACGTTGACGGTGCCCTTTTCACGGTTGACAGTGATGACACGAGCATTCTTGACTTGGCTACCGACCGACATGCCCTTTGTTTCGGCGCTGTCTTTGCCGTTTCCCTTGACGCTATCCGCCATCTGATTATTGTGCAGAAAAACACAGCCTGGTGTTCTCCCCGGAACGTCATATTCGGTCTGAACCAAAACCCCATAAGGCAACTTTTTGACAACCGTTCCAGACACCTTTGATCCAGGCACCAATTTCGTCCAGGACAGTTTGCCATCTTTCTTCGGTGGAGCTTTGTCTTTTCTCTTGTTGCTATTGTTAGCAATGTTCCTGTTGCTCTTGCCCTTGCCCTTTTCAACAACCTTGGACGATTTCTGAGGGGTCTTTTGCTTGGCAGTTGTTTTCTTCTTGGATTTGGTAGCCTTGTCCTGAATCTTGGACACGGTCAAGCCCACGGCACTGACAAACTGCGAGTCCTTTTCTCTCGCGGCCTTGCGTTTCTTTGCTGTCTTTGCTGAGGCTTGTTCTGCCTTCCATTTCTTCATCAGGAACTGCTTGTTCTTGGCTCTTCTTCGTCTTTGAGCTGGCGCCGCCGCCGCTTTGGGTGGAGCCTTGTTTTGGGTCTCTGCAGGTGCTTCCGTCAATGTGGATGCCATGAGAGGGCCAGCCACTGGGGCGCCATACTGATGGAACGTAAATCCATGGACGGCCTGGTTGGTCAAAAGCAAAACATAGGCACAGACAAGTACAGCTGCAGCGCGTCCTGATTGTTGCCTCGTCATTGTTAGCTCTTGATCGAATAGTTGCGACAGGCTAGACCTTATTATGCCAACATATCGTGGCTGCAAAATAGGATTCCATCATTCTATTCTGACAGAGAAAAGATACAGAACACACTCTGACAAAGCATCAAAACATCATTATTGGCGCTGATGATTTGTGTGAGGCAGAGCTGTTCCTCAATGGAAGGGACTGAGTCACAGCTTTTGTGACGTGGAAAGAGGAAAAGCTTTTCAAAACTGAAGCCTTAAATATACATTTAGGGAGAGTGTTAGAAAGCACCGCAAGGCCGGGAACTCAATTGCGGGTCTTGGACAAAACGCTAAAACACGCCTCGAGAATGGCAGATCGTAATGTTCAGCCGTATCATTAGATGGATTGAATCAACATGCAATCTATCTCCGCTTGAGTCTTAGACATCATCAGCTACTATCCAGGAAGAAGAATCTCGTTCTATCCACTAAAACAAGTTCACTGTCAGCACCGGCCGATGAGCTGAGATCCATGTCTTTAGAATCGAATCCAACAATGGAGCAGCGAGTATAGACAAGTTCTGCATGTACTGGTATAGCTTCTAGCTACATGTACTGGAGGTGCTAGGCTTGGATCCGAATGATCTGCCTTGAGGAGAGGAGCTGTTAGCTGTGAACTGAACTGCTTTTGACCGCAGAAGTCACCTATTCGTGCCTTCAAGGAGTACGGAATCATGGTCACTTTGGCTGCTGGGTCTCGGTCAATTGGTAATAGCATGCATGCACAGAGTACTGTATTTAGTCACACGTGTACTGTATCTAGTCACGTCCCATGGTCTTTTGTAATGAGCCGCTACACTTCACCTCCACCATCGGCCATCGAGCGGTACCGAGTCTATGTTGAGTCATGCAATGAAACACAGTTGATAGAGATCTCCATTCTCGATCTGCTTACTAGTACTCGACTATGAGTACATGTATTCGCTCCATCGACACACCAGTATGCGGTATTCACACTTGCAAACGCCCACATGCAGACAAAGATACGAGGGACGCGTACTAACATCAGGCAGTCCTGCCTCTTCTCATTTCAAAATCACGTCTCGGTTGGGGGCATGAAGCCGTCGCACGTGCATCCCATCAGCTATCGTAAAGCAACGAGACCAACTCAGTGCTTGTTCCGCTGTTCGGCTTGAAGCTTGAAGCTACAAGTACACGGTGCGACCTTCACGAATACCGATACCAGTGAACTGGCTAATACAGTTCTGTAGAGCACTGCCCATGCCAGTAGCCAGCCAGCCAGCCCGTTGAATGACTGCTTTTGCATCATGAAACATAGCTGTGCAAGTCGGCGGCTGCAGCTGCCACGATGCCTGTGGTGCCCTTTTTTTTCACATCACTAAACCTCCACAATTCCACTTTGCTTGTCTTGCCTCAAAACTATTCTCCACATCTTCACAGAGTACAAGTACATTGCAAACATGAGAATGCAAAAACCCACTCTTGCCGCTTTCTTTTTCACCGCAGCTGCGGTTCTTTTGGTTGTCATAATCATCATCCCTGTTGTTGTGGTTAAGAAAGATAAGGATGCAGGTTCGTCAAGTGCCCTTCGTGGTCCCATTGGAACTGAAACGCCCTCGCTGGCATCTCCCAGTGGCTCAGAGAGCTATCTTGCAGTCCTGGACTTCCTCCGGGCAACGCTTCCGGAGTACCTCCAAGAAGAACTAGAACAAGGCGACGTGGACTCGCCCCAGCTGCAGGCAGCACAGTGGTTGGCTGATCATGACAATCTGACTGAAGTGCTTTCACTGGACCTCAGTGACTCCCACCAGCAGATCCTTCAGCGCTACTCGTTGGCAACCTTCTATTTTGCACTGGGAGGAGATGAATGGGACTTCTGTGGTGGCAAGGTACATTGCAATGGCATACGTGCACCTTGGTTATCTGCTGTGGACGAATGCAACTGGGCCTTCATCCGTTGCAACGACCAAGGCTTGATTACCCAAATCAATTGGCATGCTGAAGGTAAGGGCAAAATGGCGATGTGATGGTATTGCATGATGGAGTGTAGGGCTCACACTGTGTGGTCTTCCAAACTCCAAAAGTTTGGAACGGTGAACATCTGATTCCAGGGTTCAAAAACAACATGGTTGGAACCGTCCCTCAGGAGGTGTCGCTATTAACGAGTCTGGAGGTTTTTGTGTTGACCGAGAACTCAGTTGGGGTTGACCTGGACAGAGTATTCCAAAACACTACGTCGATGGTGCGATTGTGGGCATCAGGCAATGTGCTGGATGGTACTTTCCCAGTTCAGCTGCTTCAAAACAACCCAAATCTTAGGGAAGTGAACCTTGCTGGTAACTGGGATCTCCACGGCCCTGTCTTGGGAGTTGCTGGCCACCCAAGTCTGCAGGAGTTGATCCTTGATGACACCAGCGTGGATGGGACACTCCAAGACATGATCATGGTTGACAACACTACCAGTATCTACCAAGCCAATCTCCGTGTATTGCGACTGAACAACACCCAAGTCTCTGGGACCATTCCCTCCGCCATTTCCCAGCTCACCAAGCTTTCAGTGTTGGACCTGGGCAGCACCAACCTGGACGGTCCTTTGCCCAAAGAGCTGTTCTATCTGACCGACTTGAGTCTGCTCGTTGTTGGGAACGTTGGCCTGTCAGGCACTATTCCTGATGCCGTTGCCAATCTGACCCACCTGTCGGAATTGGACCTGTCATTCAATGCGTTTGAGGGGACCGTGCCGGAGGAGATTGAAGCCCTGAACTTTACTCTCATGGATTTGTTTTTGAACAACAACGAGTTTACTGGCTCTGTCCCTGTTGCATTCAATTTTCTCACTGCTTTGGGTACGACATACAAGAAGGCTGCTTCAAAGTACACGTTCTGCTCTGTGCCGTTCGTTTGCCCACTACCGCCTTGCTCACGTCGTTGCTTGCTTGCTTCATCTCTTTCCTTGTCCTCGACGTCTTGTTTCTAACTGCATGATGTAAAGAAACACTGACGATCCAAAACAACGACTTGACAGGTTCCATTTCGGCTGCTGTTTGTGCGGAGAGAGGACTTCGTTACCAGCAGTTGGCAACGCTCGTTGTGCCCTGCCAAGTGGAGTGCAAGTGTTGTGACAAATGTGAATGAATCAATTCGAATCGAATCTGAAGACGATCGCTCCTCGGCTTCGCGTTGTGTCTTCCGTTGGTAGAGAGCTGCAGATACCGGTACCGTTTCACTTACTTGATCGCGGAGCCCACACCCCAATGGCAGCAATCCTGGTGAGGTGATACGATCAGCCGGAGATGAAAGACATGGTGCAGTTGTGGTAGTATATACAAATTCTATTCTTTAATATAAGCTTTTGATGTTTCTATGATCAGTTTGGTATGTACAATGAGTTTGCTTTGGTATGTACTGCACGACTGTATACTAGTACTTGATGTTTATCGTACGGACAAGGACCGCTTCATCTTTCGAATCGCCGACTCGACGACGAGTTCCATGGCGGTGGGGACGAGGAAACTGCGTGTGATTTCTCGCTGTCGTTGTACCTTTTCCTTTTCGACATTGGCACGACGCATTTCTTCGGGTGAAATGTCAAACTGAAGCAAGAGTTCCTGTCGATGAACGGGTGGGAGTCGCAAGTCCCGATACGCTCGTCGGTTCCGTTGATATTCGTAATAGTCGACCGACATGGCAGAATGTTGGTTGTACGACCAATCCAACGAGACGGGTGCCCCCAAATGACAACTGGGATTATCTCCCAATGTGAGTGCGTGTTCTCGGATATTGACATCGGAGAAGGAGACTCGTTTCAAGTGTTTGACCATGGACGCCCGGACGCTGCGGGCCGCAAATAATGAGGAAAAGGGCTCTTGTTCCACTTGGTTGGTTGGGTGATGTTGCTGCAAGAGTTCTTCGTGCACTTCACGGTCGAATTTGGGAACGTGGCGAGGGGCTGGTAGCTGTTTCCAGGCTTTGGACTTGGTGGCGATGGGAATGACTTGGCAACAAGGTTGCAGGCATCCGTAGGACGAGGACTTGCGCAGAGCCGACTTGGTTGCGACCATGGTGGGGTATACCGCTGGCGCTGTCATCAGGAGTACATGTTGGTGTGGAGACTTGGAGGACGACGTCAATGAGGACGACAACGCCGTAAGGGACTTGGAGAGACGCATTCTTCGCTTTCGACGAGGGCTCCGTGCAGGCTTGTTGTTACTGTTCGCAGAGGAATCTTGCAAACAAGACGACGCCACGCTATCAGCATCACTGTAAGCACTCGAGGCACTCTCGTCCATGCAAGAGTTGCACACCAGAGTGCTACCGCTTGCACTGGGGCTAGCAGTAGAGATGGTATGAATGCTCCTGTCCTCTTCATCTTCCTCGTCGTCAAGACTCAGTCCTACACTGAACGACTTTTCATTATCATCTTTGGGTTGGAGCTTATCATCTTGATCATCTTTCAGTGGAAAGGCACTCTTGAGGAACCCTCCTCCGCTCCTAGGCTGCAGCTTGGTACTACTACTCATGCCGTCTACAACTTCAACGTCGCTACTGGAGCTCAGGCTACCAGGAGAAACACAACTGTTTGCTAATGCCATTGCAGAAAGGTAATGCCTTAAGTCAAATCAAAATATAAGACGGAGATGCAAAGGTCTTTACGTTGTTTCACACGAATCCTGCAGTGCTGAAGTGAGCTGGTGTTGGTGTGGTTGCGATCGCAAAAGCGAACTCTTGAAGCACTGCTGCCTCTGAGTCAATGCAAAGCTGGTTGAACCCATCGACGCCTCCATATTCGTTAGGATGCCGTTCTCCGTTGGGCTGTTGCATGGCCGCGTAAGGGTTGAAGCGGACCGTCAGATTTGCCACCACGTACCCCCAAAAATGACAATAATGTGGGCACATGCAAAGTTCTCTGTTGACGGTGTGGTACAACTTCCAATACCGACCAGCTACTGCTACAGGTACACTACAGTACCCCTAATGACAAGCCCCCAAAAGCACGCACCTTAGAGGAAGGGTTATACTATACAATACGTATCATATATATCATACGCATGATACGTATCATATGTATCATACGAAACACAATTATCATAAAAATCAGATGATATAATATTATTATATATATTAACCATATGATATATATGATATATAATATATACAATATGTATCATATGATATGACGAATTTTTGCCAGTTCTCTAAGTTGCCAGATCTCTCTGAACTGAAGCACCCACCAAAGTGTCACAACAACCAATATGGATACCTATCTTGCTGAACTGAATGATGTTGCCAATATGATACCAATGTAGAAGAGTGGATCCCTCCTTCTATTAGTGTAGCTGTGGCAACGTCTCTAATAAATGAAACTCCTATAAAAATTGACATTATGCAAACGCTTGGCCATCTTGGCAATGCTCAAATTGAAAGACCGACGTGTATTGGCTGCCAAGCAAATTCAACAAAGATGACAAAAAGTTTATCAAAGAGGAACTGATGTCTGTATTTGCACTTCATGCAAGGAAGCAGGCTTTAATGTTAAAAACAGAGGCTATGACAGAACGAAGAGCCTACCTTACAGTCGTGTGCCCGAGACATAGGTATTAAAAGGAAGCACCATCAAAGGCAACCCAACAAAGTCCTACTACCCAAAATCAGTTACCTATAATTGGAAAAGACAAGTTTGTCCTTTCTATTTTAATGTTTTACTTCAGTAATGAGACAGGCGATGGTTCCTGCCAGCCAACCAGGCGGAAGCACCAAACACATTGGACATCCGAAGCTCGACCCTAGCCAAATTCAATCCAGATCAAACATTTGGGTTCCGAGGTGGTCACATTGGCAGATCAGTGCCTAAGAAATCACTTGCCTCCCAGTTTGATAAAAACTTTGCTGTACGAAACCACTGGTCTACCCGTGAGTTCAAAGCAGCTGGAGGGCATGAAGCGGAATCATCCGGCAAGGGATTGTGCTCTCGATAATGTCAGCTGATGGTGTTGAAACGCAAGTCCCTGCTGATGAAGCAACAGCAGCTGACCGGCTACTCGCACGGCTCCAGTCAGATAAGACAAAGGCTTTTGTAGTCTTGTTTGCCGATTTTGAAACTGGACACCTGAGATTTAGACAAAGACGAAGAGGTGCCGCTTCTCAAGACATTGATTCCAATGCTCTGGCTGATGAAGTCGACAGTGCTGCAGCATTTTCTGAAAAGGTTAGGAATGCATTATCCATTACCGGATCGGGCTTGATTCTTCTTGCACTAGCATGGACAACAGAAAGTGCACAGCGGCTCTTCCGAATGTACCCCGAGTATAAATCAGGTGATATTACTTTCAAAAACAAATGCGGAGAAGAGAGAGCTGCAGACTGAATCAGGCAAAGCTGCAGATGGGCAAACATTCAGTTAGACATTTGCTTTCCTTAACACCCTTAGTCTTACCCGTCTTGCCCATGCAATGCTGGTACAATGACGTGCCTGCCTTGTTGTGAAGCTTGAGGGACTGGGGGTTTAAAGGTATCTGGTCTTCGGGTAAACCAATAGCATGAGCCACGCAGTCCAGACAGTAGACTTGATCCTGTGGGTCTAAGATAGTATGAAGCTGAATCTTGCCCTTCTTCTTGGGATCAACATAAGACCTTAAACACAAGGGGAATCTTTCCTTCACAACTCGACAAGCTGCTCTTCAGAGATTTCCCAATGCCAAAAAGGTCCACAATTGTCCGGGCCAGGAGGAGCGCGCACTTCATCTATTTGCATTTCTGCTAAGGCATCGTCCCCCATGGGGTTAGTGTCACCTTCAGCCATGATACCTATGAATAAAGCCATATACAAACAGCAGAAACAAAGATTGCAGTCAGTACAATACGGAAATATGTATGATATACATTATACATATAATAGATATAGTACATACGATACATACGATACATATCATACATATCATACATACGATACATATCATACATCGATACATTTAATAAAAGGTTTGTATGATACAATACTATACCATACTTATCTACATACGATACATATTATATATATCATACGTACGATACAAAGGGTACTTACAGGTTTCAGTACTGTGATCTACTGGTGAAATGGAAATGTGCTGTTTTTTGACTTCCTTGACTTCCTGGTGTGGTGTCCTTCCTTGTTCACCTTGTTCTATAAGTCTATGAATAATAGAAAAGAGTGAAAGCATTGTTGAGAGACTTGGGTATGGCATGGAGGAGGAAAGAAGAGAGGGTGATATGACATCAACTTTTGCTCATCTGATGAATAGCCACTCTCTCTGACCATTTCACAAGCAGGAAGCTGAGTAAATGTACCTGAAGTAGTGGTAGAGATGGGGTGATAGCTGAATAACAACAGAAGCAACAATAGCAGGAGCAACAAGAGGGAGAGAAGAAGAAGTGTGGATGGTGGTGTTTTTTTTGGTGTGCTTTTTAAAAATGGCTGCTGCTGATCAAGGGAGTTCTCATTGGTCCACGTTCGCGCGTATAATACGTACGATACATATGATACGTACAATACGTACGATATATACAATATGTACAATACATACAATACGTACGATACATATTATATGTATGATACCTTTGAAACTCAAAACCTTAAGGTGCGTGCTTTTGGGGGCCTCTCATAGCTGGGTACTGCCAGTACATACCCGAGTACCGTACCTGAGTACCGGTAATTATAAATAAGCGCAGCAATCGCCAGCTACTACTGTAGAAGCTGGAATGGCTTGAGGTGAACTTCAACCTGACTCAGCAGAGAAGACACTGCGGATTAACTTCCAGGTAAGGAGATCTTGAATTCACAACACACAGATTTAACAACCACGATCCGCGACCTCAAAGCGACCAAACTAAGACATAAGACAAAGGTGAAGAGGTGGTGGAGAGCTGCAATCCCAAATCAATCTGAACAGCTATCTGAACGAACGTGATGCAGAGCCAACAGCCAAGCCACTGCCAGCTATGTGCCGTTGATAGCTCATAGATAGCTCATAGATAGCTCATAGATAGCTCATAGATATCCATGCAGCCACATGTAGCTAGCATACCGGTAGGCTAGTAACCAGCTGAACTTCCGCTTGGAAAAGCTCTCGGAACGCGCTCGGTAGACCTACATGCTGCCTGTTTCAGAATAGGGCGAGACAGTGCACAGTAAGGACAGCAGCGTCATAGCATACTGCCCACGCGGAACTGATGCCAAAGACAACGCATCACTATAGTGCCTTTTACGGTATCCGTAACGGCAGTATTGGTGCTGGGAGCGATGCGACTACTCGGAGTACTACTAGCCGGACAAACCCCAGCTGACGAGCGATGTACGCAATCCAAGAGATAGTACATGCTGGCTACCGGTAACGGGAACGTCTCTGCCACTTCCTTCACCCAAGAACACCACAAAGTTGCCGGGGCATGCGGTTGCTGCCGGCTGCCGTGTTGCTTTCCAGATATTCTTGCGGCGGTACCAAACTGATCCCCTTCTTCCGCATTGTCAGACATGAGCATTTATTTGATGGATGGTCCGTCTCCCGTGTCTCTCTGGTGGAAATCACTACTGGTAGCTACCGTAGCAACTAGCTATCTACTGTAAGGGCCGGATTTTTTTTGCCGCCGAGGGGCAGACCTTGGAGGTGCAGGTTTTGCCAGCGCAGAGGATCCTCCGTAGCTAGAGGTGCAATTTTTTGCCGCCGAGGTTCAGAGTTTTTGCCCCCGAGGTGTGGTTCCTACGGTAGCTACTAGCCACCGGTAGAGGTGCAGAGGTTTTGCCCCCAAGGTGGGATCCTAGAGGTGAAACTGTAGTTTCACGGAAATGGCTAACGTTGAAACTAACCCGAATTCCGTGAAAGTAATAGTTTCACTGAAATTTTGGTGAAACTAACTCGAAAACCGTGAAACTAACTCAAAACCTTGAAACAAACTCAAAAACCGTGAAACTAAGGAGAAACCAGTCATAGTAAATCAATGTAAACACCACTGAAACCGTGAAACTAACTTAAAACCGTGAAACTAACCAAAAACCGAGAATCTAACGCAAAACCATGAAGCTAATAGTTTCACTGAAATTTATAAATTTCCGTGAAACTAACTCCGATTTCCGTGAAACTAACATTTCCGTGCAACTAACGTTTTCCGTGAAACTAACTTCCCACACTGCTTTGAGTCCCGTTTCAGGACCTTGCAGTGCCGGAGCTACGGACACTGGCTGGCCAGGACTATCACCATGATGCGCTGTTTTATTCCGCGGGAGTTGGTTTTTTAAGGAAAGCCAGTTAGTTTGTTAGCTTTCCTCAAAAATTTCAGAACAAAGTTTTTCCAGGTGCTTGATTGGATGTGCCCGGAGCTGGAGCCAAGGGTACTGGTAGGCACCAGTGGAAACAGGAGCAGGTCCCGGGGATGGACTGGATGTGGAGTCTGGAGATGGACCAAGCGTAAATCCAGAAACAGGCCTAGAGTACCGGTATTGATGCGCATAGCTATAGATACTTCGTAGGGGGTGGGTTTCAGGGCAGCTCTGGAGTATGGTACTGATTGGTCTACTGGGCAGAAGATTTGGGACCATGATCCAATACTCTGCCACGTTCCACAACTGCAGCGATCGAGCCCTGTATTTCGCTTTTTAATTGCCAAAATGGGGACATGCCGGTACCGGTACCGTTCAGTGCATGGATTCCATCACTTCCGTGAAATCTGCTTCGCTGATTGAATTCAGACACGCTCTAGCACATTACAATTTTCTACGCCAAGGTGAAGTTGCAACCACGACTGCTTTACTATACCGGTAGCATGTTTTGTACAACTAAGTACTCCTTGCGAAAACTGACCAAAGCACTTTTTACCGTGGATATCTGACAGCAACGCAGTTGTTGCGTCCAAACCAAACAAATACAAATGCGCTGCGATTGAAGTTACTACATGTAGAAGTCTAGTGAGTATAGAAGTTCATCTTCTTTGTTGCTGCGTTTCTTCTCCTTCTGCTACGACCACTACAACACTACAACAAATAAATAACATTCTTCTCCTTTAGAAGGCGAGACCGACCAGTCTCCCTCCCCTCTACGCCAACGACTTTACGGTAAGAGGTAAGAGTGAGACTCCAGTGGAGCGGTGGTTCCTGTGTTCCTGTTATTCACTCCCCTCGAATATCCTTTAATTAAATCTCTCCTGTGCTGTTCTCCGCACACTCCTCTCACCGCCTCCCGTAGCCAATCAACAAGTGGTATTAATAAAAGGCTTCCGGAGCACTCCATCAAACATCACACACTTACTTCACACTTCACACGATCTTGCCTCTGCCATCATACAAGCTAGATCTAGCTAGCTACTGAGTAGTACTTTTTCAAGAACCCTGATCTCCTACAAGTATCCTGCTCCATTGCTTTTTGGACGCTATACAGTATCAGAATGATGGAGAGGCTCATGCGTTTCACGCAATCGCTGCGATGTTTCCTACCGGTACTAATAGCAATAGTATTGACGATGCTAGTCCATGTCACCGCCGAGGAGCCGCCAGCGTCTACTCGCAATGGTACTACTAGCACTACTACGCTGTCGTCGACCCCCTTCTTTGGCGACCCTACATTGTCTGGCCAGCACTTTCGAATAACCGTTCTGGAGCATCCGGGATATGTGGATATCATCACCATGCCAGAAGAAGAAGAAGATGGAAGACTCCAGTTTTCGGGGTATATCATCGATGTCCTCGAAGAGTTGGCCAAACCAAACAGAGCCAATTTCACATACGATTTGGTCACTCCCAGTGGATATGGATCCCTCTGTGAGCCTAGATTGACCCCAAACAAGGAGGGTAATCCGGATGACGCCTTTGGCAAACGTTATTTCCAGGCGTATCAGTGTGGAGAATCGGATGTCAATGATCGGCCCAAGACACACTATACAACCGACTTTTACTGGGGAATCTTTTACATTACACCCGAGAGGCTCAAGGCCAACCGATTCACCATTCCCATTGCTCCACCCGCTCGAGCCACATTGGGCATGATGGGAACGGCGACACATATTCAAAACATTCATGAATTGGCCGCGTCCAACAACACACAAAATTATCAAATCTGTGCGTTTGATGGGACTGCCTACAAGGATAGCCTTGTTTTGAGCTTTCCACAATTGCACTTTAAAGGAATCTCCTACGCGGAGGACGTTCACACACTGCTTCATGAGGGAGTTTGTGATATTATCATTGAATCCTACCCAGTGTTGAAGCAAACGGTGTTGCAGTTGTACAATGACAATACGTGCATTGCCAATGGCAAACCCATTGGAGTGATTGGAGAACCATTGGAGTATGGGCTCAACTATTTTGCCTTTGGCATCCGAGATGACTTGCCAGAGTCCGTGGTGCGGACATTGGACTTTTGGTTGCAGGCTCTCATGGCATGCTTCCCCGAAGATCCAGATGGATACTGCCCCAACGGGGTTGGTAGCACCAGTCAAATGTACAATGTGCATGGTGGCACGGGGCAAGAATGTGGCTATGAACAGTATCCACCCAATACGGATGATAGTGGACTGCATGTGGCTGCCATTGTGACCATTGCCATTACTCCTGTCTTGCTTGTCGTCACTCTGGGCATGATCTATCATTTGCACCGGCTGAAACATCAAGAGAAACGAATGAAAAAGAGGTTCATTCAACAATTGGCCAGGAATATTGACATTGGACCCAGTGTGAGACAGATTAGTGTGGAAAAGCTTTCCGAAACATTCCAGCACATTGGAGGGAAAGATGGAAAAATCAGCAAGGAGGACTTGGCAAAGTGGATGAATGACTTGCACCTAGACTTTCTTTCCGACAAGGACTTTGACAGGCTATGGGACACTATGGATATGGAGGGCACTGGATATGTGGATCCCATTGACTTTTTTGCGTTCCTGAATGAATGTGACAAGCAATTCAAAGAAGTCCATGAAGAATTCAGTTCACTCCCCAAGAGCGAGAAACTAAAGCTGGCGGCTCGGCGGTTGTCCAACATCAAGGCTGTCGGAGAGGAAGGAGTTGACAGGATGGAACGGCGCAACAATCGGCGGAGTCGATTCCAAATACCAGGTTTGGCAAGCAGCAACCCACTGGGTTCCTCTGCTGCTTTCTCGGCTCCATCGCAGCTGTAGTCTCTAGCTAGAGGCAGGGTGGAACCCGGCAGATTGCAGGGAGAGCCACAGGGGGTGATTGTGTGTCGTGCATCTTAGTTTGGCAAAAAAAGATAAAATGGTACATTAGCGGACATCGATGAAACTATTTCCCACTTCCTTGCGCCTCCAAAAGCGGAACCTCCACTTCAACAACGAGTCCACTGGGGTTTAAAGCTCGGAAACGAGAAACCTCGTCGCGTGACTGCGGTCCTCCCCCCACTCGGACTAACATGTCGAGGAACTGCGCAAAGGCTTCACTCTCATCTCCATGGTTCGAACCTATGGTCACACCACCCTTTGGGAGTGCTCTTGACGGCAGAGGACGCCACTTGGACCGCTTCGTATCCTTTTGCACATGCCCACTGAAACGCCAGCTTGGGAACAAGACCACCCCCGCTGATAATGACAATGTCTTTCTCCATGGCAGCAGACTCGGCAGTTGCGAGGGCATTCACGAGAGCATCCCTGGCGACAGTGTGGTCGATCAGGCCACCCCGACTGGTGCCCACAACACCCAACAGGACTCGCCCTTTCATTGGGATATGATGCAAAATCTTTTGGGCGCCCTCCAAGGTTGTGCCCCTGGGAATCCATCCAACATGCGGTTACAAATGCTCGCCAGGTTGCGGCAATCATCAATCCCGGAGTGATGCCGACCTTCAAGCTCAATGTCCAGAAGATGCAAGATGTTGGTCATTCCTCGGCTTTTGCAGTGATAGAACTTGGAAAATGGATGCTGAATATTGATCCATGACTTGAAATGGTAGGGGACGGGCTGGTTGTGATATTTCAGCTGCTGCGGAAGATATTGACGCAAGTCGCTGTCCCCGCTGGTGCAATAAAGGAACCGCTGTTTGCGGAGTCTTTGCGTCGCTGGAGTGTTGTCTGTCGCCGATGATGCAATGAGATTATGCTGTTCCAGCCATTGCTGGTGCAAGGCCAGAACTTCGGTCAAAGTTTTCCCTTGCTTGACGGTAGATTGATGTATCCCTGTCAGAGATGTACAGAACTCCGACAGCTCTGGGTGCACTTCGGGTTTGACATAGTAATGAAATGTGTCTTCGATCTCGCCCGTTTTGACATTTAGAAGCAATGTGGGAAATTCAATAATCTCTACTGGGTCCGGGTCGGCCTCCCCGTTGGGGCTGCACGTGGCTTCAAAATCCAATACTAGCAAATAGTCAATGTGTTCGCTGCGCTCGAGATGTCGTCCTGTCTGATCGGGCACTTTGATGCTGGTGCTATTGACTTCTTTGGGAGTTGACGGTTCGCAACCTGCTTTCTTCTTCTTCTTCTTTGGTGGTGGTTTGGATTGCTGTTTCTTCTTGACAAGCTTCATGATGGCATTGTAGCCAAGCGTCAGATTGTCTCCATTGCTGTGGGATGGCAGTGCCGCCAACCTTGCCTTCATTTTCGCTTTGAATTCTCTCTGAGCGTCTATTTCTTGAGGCGTTGGCACCTTTCCTGTCGTTGTGGGTGCAGCGTCGACTAGCTCCCGTAGTCCCAATGGCAGGTCTTCGAGTTCCAGCATCGTTTCAATGGAGGAACAGTACCGGTGCAATGCACTTTGTAGGCGAAGGTGTGGACTCTGACGACTCGACTCGGCTCCTTCTAAGATCTTGAAACGTGCTTTTTCGGAGACGACTGAGTGACATTCGAGCCGAGTCTGGCTTGGCTACCGATACAGTACAGTCTCTATCATCTCCCCCATTCCCCTTCCCCACCACTAGCTAGCCCCTTTCGGATCTTTGTGGTCCTTTCCTCCTCCTGTTGGCAGCTCTATCCTGGTTCTTGTGGCCCGTGCCCCTGCCCTGTTCCACTCGGCCTCTCACATCCCCTCCCACACAGCTCCCACCCACATAGTCCATTCCAACCCCATTGAAACCTCTTCTGCCTATTATTATAAATCGCACCAGACGCGAAAGCACAACGTCGTCAGCTCATTTGTTCCTCAACTTCCAGACAACGAACCGTCAATTCAAAGGAAAGAAGCCCGCTTGTAGCTACCGGTGCGGTACCATATCTAGCAAAACCGAACTTTTGGATGGTGCTTTGGTTGCCTCGGATGAAGCTTCAACATGCTCCCCTTCTCATATCCATGATAGTCAAGTGAGGTGTGTTCTCTACGAAGAACCTGTCCACCGGATGAGATCGGAAGAATTTTGTGCTCAGTGGCAACAAGAATACAGTATGGTACCTTTACCGTATGGTACCTCGTACCTGCAAGGTTGGGAACCAGACTGCAATCCTTTTTTGACAGTTTCTCAAATGAGAAAGTAGTTTCTCATTTGAGAAACTAAGTTCTGAAATGAGAAAGTTAGTTTCTCATTTGGTTGAAATGAGAAACTATCTTTTGAAATGAGAAACTATATATGAAACTGCTAGTACATGTGTTGTGATTTCTTCCAGAAATGAGAAACTATTTTATCAAATGAGAAACTAAAACTGTTAGTTTCTCAAATTGAGAAACTAAAAATGAGAAACTAAAACTAAAAATGAGAAACTAAAACTGTTTGAAAAATTTCAAAGCATCATTGGGGTTTCACGACCTTGCTGAACCCGAACCGGTACCGGTACCGGTCGAAAATCAAGGAAAGCGAACGATGCACCTCCTACAGTGTGTACCGGTACCGGTAGGGCCTCTTGCCTACAGTAGCTAGCTAGAGTTGGGTCTAAAATTGTCCGAAACAGCTCTTTCAAAAGATACTAGCCAAATTGACGATGGTCGATAGAAAGAAGGAAACCGATAGGGCATCTTTCCCATAATTTGAATTTGAACCAACAATCCTAAATTCGCGACTCCTTTTGACAAAGCCATTAACCATGTCCGCAAGAAGAACTCTGAACCTCGACCGTGCCAAGGGCTTCCTGGACGAGTCAGACCCTGCCTTGGTATCGAAGGGGACCAAATCGACGAAGACATCATTGGACCTCAACCGCGCCAAGTCTTTCCTGCAAAGAGACGCAGACCGCGGAGTGAGAAGATCGACTTCGTTTGAGAACAACCTAAGACTTCATGTTCCTGGTATGCGATCTCGAGATGCTCGACCCGAAATGAGCAAAGCCAAGTCGGCCAGGGCGTTGTCGTTCATGAGTAGAGGAAAGTCAACCTCTCCCGTTCCAGGGCCACGAAAGAACCATTGCAGCCGATCGGCCAAAGTGCCCAAAGCCGAGAGCAGTTCTTCGAGCCGCCGCAGCCGAAGCAGTCGAAGCCCTTCCCCCATGCCCTCCAAGTCTGCTTCTCGTCGACGATACATTGTTCGAGATTCGTCACGGCGACGAGTCATTGGAGACGAACCATCCAATCAAGACGATGGCATCTTTCGAAGCTAAGCATTGCTGGCTATACATGTTGCGTGATACAAAGCCTAGCTAGAGGTGGTGCAGGGCTTCGGACTGGTACCAGAGGTGTGAGATTGCAAACGTCTGCCTCTTGGTACTGGCCTCTCGATGCGAAATAAGACAATGTGTGTAATACTACTAGTACACTGTACCTGATTTAGAATTCAACACCACTTCTTTTTGAGAAACGGATTAGATTTGCTCACAGTTGCTGTTGTTGGTTGCCGTGGCTTCAGCTTTCATAAGGCAGAAAAGGTGCTAGACCGAGCGCAGGGCAACAAATGGTTCCAAATCTCGATGGGGCCAAACTCGTGCTGCCGTGGTGACGGACGATGTCACACAGATTCGATTCACACACGCGGAGAGGTGGGAGTGGGAAAGAAACCAGCAAGTAACTGGAGCGAGCGGGGCAAAGCGAACAATCAGCTGCCTTTCGAACAGCCACTGCAAAGCTACGGCACTGACTGATTGCATCTTACCGCCTTTTTCGTTAAGAGTGCATCGTTGATTTTGGCAACCAGGGGCATTGCAATGCCAGCTAGCTAGAGTTGCCGCCACAGGAAGGACGAGACAAGTGGCTTACGAGTCTGGCAGGCAACGACGTGATTCTCTGTAAAGGTGCCGATGAACCCAATTGACCACCAGCAATCAAGGTCGGCAAGGTGTGATCTGAGTCAGTAGTCCTTGTCTGCTCTGTATTAGGCTCATACCGTTGAACGGGGATATCAGAAACCAATGAAACATTCTATTTATAAGTAATTGAAACACTGCCAAACGATGTGACGTTCAATGCAGCCAGCACATCGAGGAGGCGTCCACACGAGCGGCATGGTTCAACAAGTCGAGTCGGACGTGCCAATCGAGCACTCGCCACAAACCCAACCACCGATTTGACATCTCCACTTCTTTCCTCGTAGTGATTGCCAGTCGGTCACGTACTTCAGCAGGTTGATGCCCACATTCGTTGATTCAATGGTGTTCGGCAAGGGAGGCTGCCTTTTCGTATTGCTCGAGCTTGTTCCGGAGAACCATATGGACCTCTTTCATGGAGGGTCTATTCTCCACGAGTGGACTCCACATGCGCGATAGCATTTTGGTGAACCATTCCAAGTCTTCTGTCAATTGATGCGTAGGCGAGGCAAGACCGTGCTGCTGATGATCTGAGTGATGTTTCCATTCGTCCAAGGGTGGACGAACGTGAGGGCAATCATAGACGAATTTGAACATTTTGCTGACATTGAATTTTGAGTATGGCGTTTCCAGCGCCATGACTTGCCACATGACAATGGCCAATCCGTAGACATCGCAAGTCTCATTGTATTCGTCTTCTCGTGCCACTTCGGGAGCCATATACCGGGCGCCTAATGAACGAGCAAGATATCCACGGAACAAACAAACCCCAATAATCAGTCAGATACAAGAAACAAGCATCACGATCCAACAAAGCTCCCTCCCAAACACTACATGTACTACTTACTTCCGGTCAATCCCGTCAACCGATACAGTCCAGAAGGAGTTGGCGGTACGTGTTTCAAATCCTTGGCAAGACCAAAATCCAGTAATTTGAGAGTTCCAGTGTTTTGATCAAAGGCGACATTTTCTGGTTTGACTGTCGATCGAGGAGCAGCCAAAACAAAACAAAACAAAACAAAAGAATGAGCGGGACCATTGGGGCGCGTACAACACAGCTCGATACGATAATACCGTAAGTACGCACCGTCACGGTAAATGATGCTGTCGAGTGAGAAAAGAAAAGAGTTAGCTGGATACTACCACTGGGGCGCGTACAAGCAACAAAGCTCGATACACTCGATACTATACGATACACACCGATACTTGTGCAAATAGGCCAATGCCGATGTCATGTCACACAACACCTTCCATCGTTCGTGTCCACAAAACGTTGCTTTGGAATGATGTCGGTGCGTGACCAGTTTCCCGACCAGTGTGGATTTTTGCAAATGTTTGGATTCCCAAAACTTGAATTTGTCGTCGAGGGTACAACCGAGTCGATCCAGTACCAGAAACGGATACGCTGTCGGAGCTCGTTTCAAGACGCGTGGTTGTTTGGTAGTAGGTGTGCCGTTGTTGTTGGTATCATAATCGAGCACCATGGTCCCATAAGCTCGTAATCCAATAATATTGGGATGTCTCAATCGTTGCAGCATTTGAATTTCAATTTTCATATCCTTGAGTCCCAAGTCGAGCACTTGCGGATTTTGCAAGACGGGATTTTTGAGGCACTTGAGGACAAACGAGGGACCTCCTGCTTGGTTGTTGGAGTTATTGTTGTTATCACTCCGTGAAGGAGATTCTCTCAGAAAGGATGGATTGACGTTATTATTCGTGGGCGTGGATGCAGCATGATGACTAATACCATCGTGCGTGGTAGACCGGCGAAAGACAGCCGCCATAGCTGATGGCTTTGTGGCACGACCGGAAGCAGAGGATTTTCGCATTCCAAAACTGCGACTGCTGGCATTGTCAAGTTGGGACGAATTATCCGTGTCCAGTCGTTCGGAACTGGAGGTCATGGGAGCCGAGTCACCACTCTTAGTAATGTTGAATGACCTGGTAACGGAAAGTTGGACGGACTTCATGAGGGGTGGCAAGGGTGCCTCGACCAAGGCACTGGTGGACTGTCCTCGATTGTGATTCTTCTTGTGAGGAGACAGTGGACCTGTCAAACCCGACAAGGTGCGACTTTTGAGATGTCGTTTGTTCCTCTTGGAAGAATCATCGGGTTTGATGGATTCTAGCAACCATTCTTTCGAGTCAATATCTTGAATGGAAGTGACTTCGTAAATGCTGCAGAAACCACCCTCGGCTACCCAGTCGCCCAAAACCAAGTCAACATTTTGGAGTTTTCTGCTAGTCTTTCTCTTGACCTCAGCTTTGGGTGCAGGGGTAGCATCACCAGTTTTGACTGGGGTAGCATTATCGGGTGCTGAAGGGGTAGCATTAGCATTATCAACAGCAGCTGTAACAGGGGTGCCGTTATCGGATGCTGAGGGGGTAGCAGCTGCAGGAACATCCGTCGAGGCGGACAAAGATTTTGAATCCTTGGTAGGGGTCACCACTGAAGGACCACCAACTCCACTGGCTTCATGCTCGTCTTGCAAGGGTGTTGTCACTGCTGTATGATCAGAAACATTCGTGTTGACGTTCAACTTGGAGATGCCGTTGCCAATGTCATCTGTGGAATCGGTTGCATTGCTCATTGCGGCGGCGGGATTAGATATGAATCTTCAATCCAAGTTGGAGCTCTCTTTCTTTCCGGCTAGCTTGCTAATAACGATACTACGGTGAATATGGTCTTGTCTGTTCTGTCTTCCACAGTTATACTCGTCTGTAACAACGTCGACAACAGGGTGCTCTCCAACGGCTTCTTTCTCTCTGCGCTCTGCGCTTGTTCCTGTGGTTGTGGGATCGACAAAAAGCCGCTGTCTTCGAGACAGCTGTCAGACGAAATTGCGCCTTCCTTGTTGGCGACAGAGCGAGTGTCAAAGATTTAAAGACCAATCTTAGCAACGCATCTGAAAAGGCTTTAGGGAGAAGACGTTATTGCTCTGAGTAACAGTCTACCTTGAAGATGACTCGACTCGACTCACTAGTGACCCGACTGAGGTTTGCTGAGTGACGAGTCGAGTCACTCGTTGCTTACTCCCACTCATGACTGATACTCCCTCGGTTGATGTCTTGTTGGGTCGAAAGCGCTACTCAGTAAAAGAAAGAAATCTTCGATTGATGGACCGTGTTCCACCCAAACTTACCTGGGTTGTGGGAGGCTTCGAGGATTGACCGATCGTGCAACCAATAGCCCCGCTACTGTACCATGGGCCATGGGCAAGGGCAACCGCTGGATTTCTGGCCTTTCTATTCCACCTTCTTTCACATCTCAGTCGGTACAGTAGCTTTGGGATTTGGGTACATGCTACTCATTTTAAAAAGTTGTAGACCACAACAGCGGGGCAGACGGTGGGAGCAGAGCTACTCTCATCAGTTGGCAGGCAGCCAGAAAGTTTTGTCGTTGGTCGATTGTCAAGGACATCTTGACTTCAGTCAGTTGATACCTTGGCTTCTGCCAGCAGCCCGCCAGCTTGTCACTCACTGGCTTTGAGGTCTAAACAAATACTAGTACTAGTAAGTGTTTCAGTCAGAGGAAGGTGGCAAGGGGTCTTCGACGTGCATGACATCGTAGTTTTAATGTTTCTGTGCCCAGGTCCGGTACCTGTACCCTGGCAGCAAGTTCGATGGGCTTCTGAAACCGAACGGACACTGATTATTTACTTGTGTATGCACTGCGTAGACCTTTCCTTATTTCATTCAGCTGACCGTACAATGTCCAAGACAACCACTTGGTCATTGACTAAATCTTGGTTGGTTTAGGCGACTCGATTGGTCTTGTAAAAATTAAAAATGTATCCACTGCCTGCATTCAGTAGATCCCGAAGAAATTCCAGCGAAAGATGTGACAAGAAAAGTCATTTCTCGAGCAACCGGTTTTTATTTTTCAATAACTGTACTACATGTACTTAGATATTAATATATTAATTAATTATACTAGAATTGTTCCTACCGTACCGTGACGTAAAAGTTGTACCATCTAGATGTGCGCTTATCAGGATTCTTTCCAAAAGGTCATTCAGGCTTTTTAGAACAGGTGAGTTACATTAATCATTAACATTATCTTTGGTACGGTAGAAGTACAGTGGCAACAGTACCGCGAGCATAGATCTACAGTGAAATTGCCATTCCTGGTACACGGAAAACACTGCTGAGAAACTTTCCCAACAACAGCAAAACCGCACCATCAACACATCGATCAACACCTGGTGGTTGCTGGTGGCTCGCCAGCCACAACTGTTGGCAAACCCTCCTCCTGGACCACAAAAGTGCCAAAACCCGCTCACAACCTGAAATCCACAAACTTTGGCAACCCATCATCCAAAGAACTTTCGCAGCAAGGCACTAGTATATTTTTGTTGAAAGCACAATGGCCACACACACAAGATCGCATCGTAGAGGCACACTCGCTGGAGTGCATGCATTTGCGCAGGTGGAATCCTCAAGCTCCCCCATGAGAAAGAGCACATCATACCATTCGGGTCAATTGTCACCAACCAAGGGAATGCCCAAGATCAGTTCGTCTGGATCCATTGCCAGAAGAAACACGGATTGGTGCATCTATGATCCATCGGCCGTCTTGAAAAACACTGGTTGGTCTAGTCAACACGCAGTCAAAGCGAAGAAGGGAAGCGGAGATAAGAAAGGTCGCCGCCGAAAGGAGCTCCCTTCGTTCCTCAGAGAGCCATCCAAGTCGCGAACAATTGGACTGAAGCCGAAAACATCATCAGAGGAAGTTGGCATCTTTCGACGATAGATAGATAGACGACTGAAGGATAGAGGGAGCACAAACATAGTGGACGCGACAACACCATGTGGCGGTCCAACGAAGGAACTTGAGTGCAGAAACACGTCCCAAGCAAGAGACACAGCTCGACGAGAGCGTGTGTTCCACATTGAAAAGAGCTTGGGGAATGTTTACCTGCTGTTGCAATGCTCCTTCATGATATGGGAAAACAGCATCTCAGATTCAGAAACTGCATAATTTGTAAAAGTTAGTTATACGGTATGGAAAGAATAGTACCAGTACCTGCTTGTTTCTAAGATTATCATCTAGCGGTGTTCGGTTGGCACAAGATGGATGGCAGGATGGTGGAGCCAGGCCTATCTAGTGTCACCCTACCAATGCTGTCTCCTCTCTGGCTGGACGATATGGACGGATGGTACCAATTTGCTGCCTCCCAGTGGACCCATGACAGTAGTATATTGGTGTACTTGCTCACCTAAGGGAGCTTTCACAAAGAACCACAGCACTGCAGGATGACCCAAATGCTGGCTTGAGCAGAAATACTACTTGTTGTGCTTCAAGCAAGACTACTCACGATGGTCCCGCTGACCAGAAACCATGCGAATCTGTCAGCTGATCCACTGTTGCCTTCTTCTTGAGCGACATCAAAAGTTTTTGCAGTAGTGATTTGAGTCTCCACGACGTCTGCATTCTTTTCTGGCTGCACTTGCATAGCCTGACAGAGTCAATGGTCCCAAAAAAGTTGCAGCCATCACTCTGGATACAAGCAGGCTTGCTTCTGGTGCAAGTGATGCGTTGGTGATTGGAAGCGAGCAACTCACCTGTCAAGGTACAAAACTGCTGCAGGGGGCTTTTTCAAGTGAGTCAATGTCATGGCAAATGTGGCTATTGTCATGGAAACTGATCTGGGGTATTGGTGTTGGTTAACTTGCCTCCGGTTTTGACAGGGTTGGGTAGCACGGGATGCCGAAGCAGAGTCTCCGAAATTGACTCGACTCGAAAGTAAGAAGCGTATCCGCTCTTGTGTAGCTAGTAGACGTCTAGTGAAGCCAAGCTACTCACGACCCAACCATTGGACTGGTCCAAATGGGAAATCTGCAGAGCTGCTACGTGTTAAAAGCAGGTGTTCTTGACTTCTTCAGGCAAAATCACCTCTATCTTTCCACTGTTGAAAGGGCCATGGGAAGACTCAACCAATAGCACCTACACTACCAAGCTACCTATCTAGAGCTGTCTACATTCTTTGCTTGTCACAGCCCTGTGCTGGTTGTAGTGGTTGCAGCCATGTAGCAGGCATTATCTTATGTCAAACTAGATGCTTCATTGGTGCATTCGAAAGAAAGCCACCGACAAAGAGAAGCAGGAATCCAACAAGGTTTACCGGGACATGGAAAAGGACAAGGACCTGTATGCATTGTTGAAGGAAGTCATGGAACCGTTTGTGAATTTGGAGGGATTACGGCAAGTTTGTCATGGTTTCGACACAAATCCGAATGAATCGCTAAACAACACAATCAGCTGGCTGGCACCAAAGAACAAGACTTACTGTAGCACCGTTTTGCTCAGGAACAGAGTGTGCATTGCCGTCTGCATCCAGTCGATGGGTTTTGATGGCTTCTACCGCAAACTGTTCTCGCGTCTGAGTCTTGAGATGGATGAGTTGACAATTCACAGAATCAAAAAGCTGGAGGAACAACGGGCTTACCGACTGTCCCAGTCAAGGAAAACCAACTGGAAGAAGAGGCGACAAGAGAAGAACTACGCAAAGATAAAGACTTATTTCGAGAAGCTTGCTGACAATCGTTCGAAAGGAAAAGAATACAAGACCGACATTGCGCTGCTCAATAAAGAAGGTAAAAAAGCAAGATCAAAGGTGCAATGCCCGTATTGTGGTGTGTTCGGCCATAAGACGAAAAGAGCGAAGGCGTGCCTGCAGAATCCTGCAAGATTGAGCCAGCAGACGCCGGAACATACTCAACAGGCGACAGAACATACTCAAGCAGACACTGTGGAACATACAATCAACTCCGTACATGAAGAAGAAGATGAGGATGACATACTCGACAATGCTGCTAAGTTTGGTCTAGAAGTGTGCTTGCTCGACAGTTTACCCATCGAAGAAAGCGATTTGGAAGATATTGACGGCCTGTCGATCCTACTTGACAGTTGCGATGGCGAAGAAGATGAATGAATTGTAGAATTTTGGTAATAGGGTACTAACAATTATCGAGTCTATTTCTTCTCTTCAACTCGCCGAATAACATTCATCTTCTCCAACAAACAATAAAGTAGGCACGGCCTTTCCTGCTAAGATTCAACTGACACAAGCGATCGATCGCGGAAGACTCAATATCCTTCACTGGAACTACTGTCTGAATCGCACTTATTTTCTTTTCCATTTTGTGGCCACCAAAGCTGCTTTCTTGTTCCTTTTCTTCGATTCAGCAATGGAGATCTTCTTTTCCTTCTGTCATGTGTAGTGTTCAGCTGCACTCTTCCTGGTAGTCTTGAATCCAGTAAACTTGCCGTCAGCAGGGTAGCAACACTTCTTGATGTACTTTTCCACGCACCATGGCAATGGACTGCAGTTACCCTCCGTGTTCCTGAAAAAGTTGGAGTGGTAATGCTTGTACAAACACCAGCGTTGGGTGTTATCTTTAACGTCTTCCCACTCCATGCAGCCATGAAGCTGGTGCGGCGGCTCGCAGAAAGGTGAGAAGGTGTCCACGATCTGCTCTTTGTCCACCATTTCGATTGGGTATTGCTTGACAACGCATTCTTGGTAGATGTACTTCTTCTTACAGTCACAATCTTCACTCTCTTCCTCCGAATCCTCCCAGACATTGGCAGCGGCGGCATGCTCTTCTTCTTGGTCATCTTCTTCACCCAATCGGATTTGTTCTCATGTCCTGAATCCATTCGCCTTTGGCAAACCCTTCTTCATCGACTTGAACCAAGACTTTGCCTGGGCTGGACTCCTTTCTGATACCGGTGAACAAAAGACAGGCCTGGTGGCTGTTCTTATCAGCTGTCTTGCGAAGGATGAAACTGCACTACGCTAAAAGCTAGTGTAAAGATCTTTCGAGTGTTTTGAGTTTGAGAGAATGAAAGTTATGAGAGAGATTAGAAAGCTATGAAAACTAATCAACGAGAGAGATCATCATCAAGGGATCGTAGATCTGGCTTCCCGCGGGAGACTATAAAGTGTGATAGAGTAGGTTGTGGTAGTAATCCTACGTCTCTCCACGATCCCAAAACGGAACGCGTGGAAGGTTTGTCTAGCCTGGATCTAGTAGCGTGGAAGTGCTCCACGCCGGCTAAATATCTAGAGCGATGTTTCATCATCAACCTAGTATGACTAGCGCGGTCATTGAGAACCCTGTCTCGAATGACTATTCACGAGAGACTCGGTCATGAGTCGAACTCAAACCCTATCTAGGATCGAGTCGCGAATAAGGCTAAGAGCCGTGTATTGCATTCGCCCCCTGACAAGGGTCACAGAAGGCGCGCGGGAGGCACGACGTCAGTCGGACAAGGAGAAATATGATTTAAAGTGCTGGGCACTCTCATGAGATTTGGATGTAGACATGTTCAGTCGAACGATGGCAATCCTACAAGGGGATCAGCGCTTGTATGGGTTGTGATATACCTTATGTTCCAAGTCTGGTAGACTGTGCCGCCGTTGGCTGTAGCATGTTTGGAGCCGTACAGGATGCCATTGTTTTGACATTCGGTCTATATGTTAGAGACATTTGTACTTTGGCTGACGTACTTGCGGTGCTGATATGTTGAAATCTCACAGTATCGTTGACTTTGTATTGATGAGGGACACGATGTCGCGTTTCCCTATCGTTGTTTGTTGGATTAGTCGTTGGCGACGTTCCTTATATTACTTCCAGTTTGGCTTCGAAGCGGACGTTGTGAATCGCGTCACGATTGGAACACGAGCTAGTGCGGGCGTTGCACGCAAGGTGGTATGAATCGTGGCATTCAATTGCAAAGCGAACCACCGTGAGGACTCCATCCAGATCCATATCACCGAGGGTCGTCTGTGGCACTTGATAGTGTTGAACAGCGATCGAAGTTGCGTTATGGTTTGATGAGCACGCTCGACCATAGAGTTGGCTTGAGGATTACGCGTGGGTGATGACTTGCGACGAAGTCCATATTCATCCGCGTGATTCTTTTCGACCTCTGCGCGGAACTTCCGTCCTCTATCCATGTTACCTCAGCAGGCCATGGATACGCGAGTGAGCCAGCGTTTGTTGTAGGACGATGGCTACTTCGTCTAGCTGCTTGAGCAGATCTCTGAAATCATCGAACCATCCGGTTACTGGGATCAATCATGTCAAGAATGAAGTGGTGCAGGAATTCTATTTTCTTGGGTATCCCCGACGTTGTAAGGGCCTATCAGGTCAATACATAGTCTTTCCCAAGGGATCTCACTCGCAAGGTCTTTAGAGCATCAATCCCAGCTTACGTGCGTTGGGTTTGTTCATCTGCAGCTTTGGCAACTCTGACATACGGTCCTGCACCAGTCCTTGCGCAAGCCCTTTCCAGGTGTAGTGTTGGCTGATGGTTAGTTTCCCGTGCGAGTATCGCCAGGAGTGCATCAGCACAACCATGGTACACATTCAACAAGCTTCTTCTGCATATTTTAGGTGAACTGTACAGAAGTTTCTCGTCCTGTTGAACATACTAATGCGTTCGTCAGGAATTATCTCCCTCTGGGATGATAAGATTTGCTTCTTGTATAGTCGTTTGGCTTAATGCTCCACTGAGGAGCTTCTTGATATCGTTGTCGCTCTCTCTGTCTAGTATAAGGTTGACTGCTCTCTCTCTTTGATCTTTGGGGAGACGAGAGAGGGAATCTCTCTCTTTCCC